ACATTTATCGAATAAATTAAAGTTTTATATAGAAATATAACGAGAAGAAAACCTAATACAAACCTTTTATCGCGCTAAAAACTCTCATTACTTTTGTTATTGACAGTTTCGAGAGTTGATTTACAATTAAATTTTCTGTCAATTTACTTTTTTGTTGAGTTGTGTCATTTTTAAAGTGAAGGAGCGATATCATCTATCAAATTGTACGGAAAAAAAGTCTGTATTCGTGTTAAAATATGAAATGAGACAATTCATGTATTTCGTTACAATCTAAATTCGTTAGCTTTTCTACGATTGTCGCGTCGAGAAAACGACTTTCTTTACAAGATTATCAGGATTATGTTTCGGTAATCCGATGGATTCGATTGATTCATAGATCCGTCAATGGTGAACATGCTGCCTTTTGATCTTCTTATCGAAATGCGTACAGGTCATTGGTTGTCCATACTGAGATAAAGTTTTGGATAGGTGGGAAGGAAAGGAGGATAATGCAAGTATTAAGCTGGCATAGAGGCCGCTACAGGAAAAGGGGTAAGAGAACCATTTGCGAGGATATAGGTAGGTAAGTCGGGGCTTAGCCTGGTGACACAGTAAGCGGAACCGTGGCATGAAGCTTACCGGGGACTCTGCCGTAGTTGTTATAATGGGATCCGGCTAAATGCAAGCCGATTTTAACTCTTCCCTGCTACACTCGGCCAAGTTCAAGGCCATTGTCTTCGCCGCAAGAATGAAACGTCGGCCAGTGGCCCTTGCAACGCGGGGCATCACACCGAGAATCGATGACACCCTCGCTGCAAAGCGGTACGCCTATTCTTTTCTTCTGGAGTCCCCTTGTTTCTCACCGCATCTTTCTTTATGAATACATTCCCGATTTGACTTGAGACTCGAGATTCGATACGAAACCTTTTAACGTGTCTCCGACATTCACAGCTTCGTCGACTCGTTTTATATCTTCTTTCCTACTTTAATATATTTCCGACTTACCGATGTCAATATACATAACATTGCAGTTACTGGTTCTGAGATTCGTTCAATTTATATTGATTAAGAGACACTTAATCAATTTGAAAGAATTAAAATGATCGTATAAAAAAATGAATATTAAGTATATTTTGATAATAACAATACAATACTTTGTAGAAATAATATAAGGAAAATAATTGAATGGGTCCAATAAGTCCATCGTCATTTCAAAGGATTAATTGTTAATTTCTCTTGCCTTTGAGAATTAATAAAAGTGTCTGATTATGATTATTTCTGTGAAATCACTGTTTGCTGTTATAATGTAAGATACGATTTAACTGTCACGTAAAAACATTATGCTCTCGTGTGTTTTCCATGAGATAGATATCTTCTTTAAAGAGAAAGTCGCGGAGGATTTGCGCCTCGATTATGCGAAAGGGTCATCAAAGCACGTACGGGCAACGAGCGATTCGTTATAGCTCGTTAATTTGATGAGTTAGAAAGGATGCCGGATTACGTCGTCAAAAGGTAGACAGGTACGCGATCTGTCCAATTAGTTGGACATAGGGGCGGCTCTCGCTCTTCTTCATGCTTGCATGGGGTCCTTTGTGTTGTGATGTTTAGACCATTAGAAATACGCTTCTGATAGATACACCCTTTCATTATTGTTTGGTACGTGAACATATCCACCACGGAATTCATAACACCTGTGATTTTCAAATGGACCAAGAGAATGAGTTTAACAATCGAGATTATGATCGACGTATTTCCCTCCTTCTTGTTTACAAGATCACGCGCGTTTCTGAAGAGTTCGTTATCTTTTTCTATCGACTGTTTACTTACGTTTTTTACATGTATATTTAAATAATTAAATTAAGTGCATGACAGTTATATACACTTTAGATTTAGTGATGTCATATAGCTGAGTTATGGAGATCTTTTAATTTCAGGAATTAAGTGGATGAGAGAAAATTTTTTAATTGCTTTTATCTGTTTCGCGATGCATCCGTGCACGTATTTTGCATGGCAGAAAAATTAGACGCTAGGGAGTGCACAGGTATAGTTGCTGCATCGCGATTACCTTGCGCAACCGCGAGTTTGTAATTAATATAGGCTTAATGGTTCAAGATCGATATATGTGTGACCGCTCAAATAACGAAGTGCGGTAGCTTTGACGTTTAATTAATTTCAAGTGCATTAGCAGAATTGCAGCCCGCGGCGGTAGGGTCTTGCGAACATCAGTGTGATTAATAAGAACTGGTCTCGCGATCTATAAAGCTGCCGGGCCAAAATGGAAAGAGGGATTGCATATCGCGTTGCTGAGAACTTTGTCACAGATATACAATTCAAAATGTAATCCGCACGTCAGACCGCATATGCGAGAAGCGATATAGAATATCGATTCACTAAAACGAACGTGCAGTGCTCTCGATAGATATCTGTCGGAAATACTAGGATATTAAAGATCGGGAAAGTAATTGACACCATTGACTTATTAATAATATGCGATATTTTTTTTCTGATGTAGGAAGATCCCTTCGCACATGATAGAACAATCATGTATCTTACAAGAGATATACGTTTTATGTACATTTGCATCGTATTATTACAAAGTAGCTTAGATCTACGCGTGTCCATAATAATTATGATTTTATCGCCTTCCTATCATTAATCTTAATGATATTTTTTTATTCTTTAATTATACATTGTCTAACGTAATGTTACAGGATAATATACATTAGATAGTATACACGAAATATACACTCACAATTAAGTAGGCATTCCCGCATATACTTTTGTCTTTTATCAGAAAACACATTATGATAATTAAGTTATCGCGCGAAAAAGTGCAATGGGAACTTTTATAAAGTTTAAGTCCTTCGAACAGACGAAGAGTACCATAGAAAGAAACGACTATATAACAAGATTCTGTGGGACGAGACAATTCTCACTTCATTATTCTCTCTCTCTCTCTCTCTCTCTCTCTCTCTCTCTCTCTCTCTCGCACGCTCGCTCGCTTCTCCTTTCTCTAATATATAGAGATATCTTCGATATCTCATTATAGAACTCTGAATGGGTTTTTATATTTCCTCTCTCTCGTATTCACGCGCGATCATATATTCATTATTACTATTTACAAGAGTTTCTTGGCTACTATGGCCGTATTTGATATGGATAATTATCTATGTTAATCGTAATAATAAGGATAATACCAATGATAAAGACGGCAGTGATGAGTACTCGTCTTTTAATCTTAAAAATGCAAAGAATAGCATAGATTAGATCTTAAAACAAATTCCAATGTGTGATGTGAACAAGCTTTTTATGGAAAGTTTGATGACAATTTCCATGAATACAGCCTTTTATTTTTATTTACAAGGATAAGCTTGCTATCTTGTTCCTTTTACTCTCTCTCGGAAATAAAATTCGACTTTCCCATGGACTGACATCGTTTATCAAGTTGCACATTCGTAATTCACATTTATTGCTAAATCCGCTTATCTTCATTCAAATATATGTATAAAATATTTGCACTCAAAGTATGTCTTATTTAAGTAAAATTCAAATTCAGACAATCTAGAGTTCAGCGTTAAATATGAGCTACGAGTGTGGATTTTTCATTTTCGACAGAATTGTGTTAAAATGTGAAAAGAGGAACCGTAATTTTCGCCATTTGAAGATATGGTAAAAATTGTCTTTTGGTAATCGTGAATTTGCATTTTAGATTGTCTATATTTGGTACTTAGGATCGATTTCTAAATAAATGTTGTTTTATTGTTAGTAATATTAATTCGAAACAATAAACTTTCATGACATAGGTTTTTTTTGTTCAGTAATGACAGTGAAATGTTACATCAAAGATATTTGTAAGGACAGATTGTTAGACATGTTTTTGATGTCTCAAAAATATATTTTCCATATTGTCAAGCGCTGATTTTATCTGGGATGAAAAGGGATGAAAAGGTATGAGATAAAAATAATTTTAGCCATCTTGTAGTGAAAAATTTCAGAAAGGAACGGAAAAATGAACACTGCTGTGCCGGGGCTAAATAACTAAATATTTGCATGTTGATATGATTAATATCTATATTTTGCGATCTATAAACATTACACAAAAAAAATTAAAAAAAATACATTTAACATATTAAAATGATTATGGAATATTTTTTGAAATAAAATTAAAATTGTGATTAAAGAAAGAAGATTTCGTATTTTCTCTCGTTCGAAAGAAATTTATATAGTAATCTGTAAGTGAATTTATTAATGAAAAGATAACGTTTTCTTTATTAATGAATTTATAAAATGACAATGAAAGTTATTTAATATTTTGTGAAGTTACTTTTTCATCTGTACAATGACGAACAAAATTACATACTAGAAATTAAATGCAGTGCATCTTGTGAATTATTAACTTTCCTGTAGTTTCATAATCTTTATGTGTAGAAACAATATACGAAAATCGTTCACCTAGAAAAACACTATTGCAGAAATTAATTCATGTAAAAAAAAAATAATGTATAGTTTTATTTAAAAAATTACGTTTTGTTATAGATAAAAGAAATATTGCCCGCACAAAAATACTGTGATTGATCCTATATATTTTTATAGTTGTTTTTCAACTTTATTCGCATGTGTTGTCTGAGAAGACTCTTTGAAATAATTATAAAATAGTATCAAATTAAAATTAGATCGCCATTTATAGACATTATTGTTTTTTTTTTTAAGTTTAGTAGGATACGTACACGATCGTTGCGATATTAGCTAATATCTGTCGTCACAGTCATTCCGGATGTAGAAAGTATGTGTAACTGATTCGCGTGATGGTTCGAATTATCATACTCATCAAGTCTGAAGTATATTTACTGTTGCTTCGGCGAAGTCCCTTTCCTGTACGATCAATTGTCGTCGGAATCCAGATTACCGTTGATCTCGTGACAAATCGCCGTGTTCAGTCGCCAATGATAGGGCATCGAGGTGCTGGCCGTGCTCGCGGTTTCCTGACCTCGCTGAAAGATCCCGGAGGACCTGCTGGACCGCTATACTAACGGCGGATACTTTTGATCAGGCAGCACGTAACCGGTATCGTCGCCTGACACGGCGGCGGCAGCAGCGACGGCAGCAGCAGCCGCTATATCATTGCTAGTAGCTTGCGACTGACTAGTCACTGGATTCAGATGATGACTAGTCAGATGTGACATGGACGGGGTGAGCGTCATGTTAGGATGATATTGCGGATGATGGTAATTAGCCTGCGGGCTGTGGTGCATGTGGGGGATCTGAGCCTGATAATAGTCGCCACCGTATACGCTTGAGGTCTGGGCGTAAGCGTTGTAACCTTGACCGGCGTATTGGCTGTGGTTCACAGAAGCGGACCCCGCCGAGCTCCAGCCGAAGCTGTAAGTCTCGCCGTGATGAATTTGATTCATCGCACTTGGATAGGACGACGGCTGTAGTTGGTTGGAGCTCGGTGTCAGCGGCGGCGACGGGGTCGTCAGATTGCTGTTGGCCCCGCTGCCACCGGTTGGCGTCGTTCCAACATTCCGAGGATACGTCGATTGGGTCGACAGGAGCGGGGTCGACAGAGGTGAGTTTCCTGCTACTGGCGCGTCCCTACCTTGCACCGGTGAATCTGGTGAAGATCGCCTACTAGGCGTCGTCGACGAGCTCGTCGATATCCTGCTCCCGGTGCTGCTGTTACTGTGATTCTGATTTGATCTGGGCGAACCTTTCGACGGAGGGGTCTGCTGTTGCTGCTGCTGCTGATTTTGCTGTTGTTGATGTTGCTGTAATTGTTGTCTGCATTTGGCTCGACGATTCTTGAACCAAACCTGGAACAGAGGAACCGCGGAGATGCTATGAGATTATAAACAGAGATTCACATGAACACAGTTATCAGCAATTTTTTTTTACGATATCTTTATTATTCTATTTTATTATTTCATGAGCATCCAAAAACAGTGTGGTTTAGAAATCAATTAAGCCCTCCGATAAGTATCGTATACACATTTCAATAAGGTACAAAGTCTCGCAAATAGAAGCAGTAGCCCCAGGGATTGTCAGGGTGGAAAGATGTCCCAGTGTCCCGCTACGAGAGACGAGACCGACCGAATGGGGAGTTAATCGGTGCAATGGGAAAGTAATCGCGGGCGAGCGGGCGTAACATTTCATTAAATCGCAACAATAACAAGAACCTGGAGGGAGGAGCCGTACGGGGGAGCGCGTGTACGGGCGCGACGTCTCGTCACGCGTGTATTGGAGCATCCCCTGGGATCCTCGTTGGCTACGGCATTCGCCGGAACGCATGCGCGAATCAGAGCTCGTCGTAGGGTTGTTTTCACCCCTGAGATCGAATAGTTGGTTTCGCTTGTATGTGAGCGAGTATGGTAGGGTATACGTATATGTATATCTCGTGCATGAATACACACAGGACAACGCACGCACGTATAGACTTTTCCTCCATAGCTACGGGAGCTACAAACGGGACATACGCATGACTATCCGAAAGATGCGCACATCTAGGTAGGTTTTTCTCTCCGGAAAAGGGACGACAAAGAGGGGAGAGGGACAAAAAGTAACCCCTCGTAGGCCGCAAGCTCGCGAATGCGTTGTGATTGCCCCTCCTTCCCTTCGCCTTCTTCGTCCCCCATAATACTCCCCCTCACGTATCCCCCTATAATCCCGCCGGGGCACAATGTGGCTAGGGGTGCGATCCTATGAATCTATGCCCGCGCCTTTAAAAGCAGGACCCGTCGTCGTTGTTGTTATTATCGGCGGCATTGTAACAGTTGTTACAGAGAGCGCGAATCGCTGAAGCGTATGAGGTATGAGGGATTTCGAGCTGCACGGCCGTGCATATTCGCCGATCGAGACAGAAACCACGCGCAATCCTTTCGTCCTTTATCTTGGAACGTGTTGAAATAATAAACGGAAACTTTAATCGCTCCCCGAGCCATCTCATGTTTATATTAGAAAAATATTCTGGCAACAATGGATTATTGAGGTATTAGTATATATTCAAAATATATTCAATACAAATATATGTATTTGCGAAAGATTCATATTTTTTGCTAAATACATATTTTTTTAAATAAATATATATATATATAGCACACTCACATATATGAATATGTATAAGGAATATTATCCTTCCATATAAAAAGAATTACCGGAAATTCCTGGAAATATTATTACATTTATGAAGTCTAAATTATTTTTTACGTGTCACATTTAATCTAAACCAATTAAATAGAATAAAGTTATATATTTTTCCAATATGTCAAAATCGGAAAGTGCGAGAACTAATTCTGAGATTATAATTGCGCTCGTCCCCAAGTTGTTCTCCTATTTGTTTGGCTTCTACTTCGCCGGCGGATCCTCGTTTCGTAAAAGTCATCTTCCGCGTCTCGCGCAATAGGGTGCTGAAATCTGTTAGGCGCGACGTTCGCGGATATTGCGTATCAACGCGGACGAAACGAGCCCCCGAGAGGGCGAGAAAGACGAATCTATGTCGAGGTTAGCGTGACAGACAGAGAACGATCCCATTATAGCAGCATGTTTGCACAACGACACCCCCTTCAGAGGCAGTGAGTGAAGAGAGAGAGTGAGAGAGAAAGAGATAGCTACCCTCAAAAACCAACCAAACAGGCCACGATGGCATCCGGAGACCCCCGGGGGCAACCACCGACGGTTTCACGCCTGTACACACGAGAAACCGTCGGTGAGAGGCCGAGGTGCAAATTGCGCCACCATCTGGTTTACATCCAGCGAACGGAAAACCACCCCAGTGGCCAGGGGGAGGCGGCGCAGCTGCGTTGACACTCTGTTATGACAAATATATTTTCTTATTTGTACTATTAATATGACCCTACTGACGATACCCATCCGGGAACGTGTCATCGTCCAGCATGCAGGATTGATGGAGAAAACAGCACGCGAGAGCCGCGGACGTTGTTTGCTAATGCGAACGTGATGAACGTTTTGCTCGTGCTATTGTCAATGTCTACTCACTTCACAGTACTGAAAATATCAATGTGAAACATGTAAATGTCTAATTAATTACGAATAAAACAAAAATCGGCAAGTAATGATAAATTTAACGTACCTATATATCTTTTTTATCTTATTTATTTTAAAACATGAAAGTGCGATAAATCATTCAAATGCAATAAAAGAGATTATGATAAATGTATATATAAATTACTCTACAACTGTAATTCCGCCGTTAAAAAATAGAATAGGAGATTTCTGACGTACGTAAAATATTTATTTTAAATGAATGCTTTCTCTACTCTCTAAAATTTTTAGAATGAAATCTAACTTTAAACAGAGTGACAGAAAGTGAAGATTGAGTCAGTATTAAAAAAGAATCAATTTTTAAGAGTGAGATTTCGCTTTTTGGGGGTTAGACTCCACTCCAAAGATTTTAGTGAGTACTTCATATATTTCGCATCGTGTAGATATTCGACCGTAGAATATCGCAAGACAAAAAGTCGTACGTAGTGAACGGTCGAAAAATGTTGCAACAGTTCTATGTAACGCAGAACCGTCGTGTGCGGCTGGATTTCCTAGCTTTGCTTTTTTCCTATCGACGAGACAACATTTTCCGATTCGTCCTCGGGGTCATAAGTGACGAACGAACGGCGATGAACAGCGACGAACGCGGAACTCATTCAGCGGCGCGTTGCATCACATCGGTCGCGTTGCACGCAGCTGCGTGGTTCTCTCGACGAGAGAGGAGCGCGTATAGAGCTTTCGCGAGTGAGACAGAGCCAGGGGTTATAATCCAGGAACAAATCAACGATATGTTGTACCTCGCACGCCACGCTACCATGCGTCTATCTCTATCCATACACACACCTATGGCTCTGCGTCAGACTTCTGCTCCCTAGCCATCTTCCAGCTTGAACTCTTCCCCTGCCTTTAAAACTTTCAGATAGCATCCCTCCTCCAGATATTATTCGTTCGCATAGACACGCTATATATACAGTCGTTCCGTATACGATATATACATCCCGTGTATACGTCGATTGCATTCCCTTCGCTGTGCTACACGTAGGTATACACACACGTGTTTCGCGTATGTGATACACCCTTTTGCAGTTGCGTCGCCATTCACAGCGGCTTAACTTCACGCGGAAACTTCACTTCCCAGGACTCAATTTCCACGCTTCTGTCCTACATATTTTACGATTCCAGTTACGATACTACGATATCTGCACGAAAGAGTCGTCGGTAATTCAAACGGACTTAAATAACAGAAATGCACTGGATTATGAACGAAATGTATCGAGTAAAGTTACAAGAAAAATATAAAAATGCATAGGTACTATACATCACGTAAAAGAAATATTAAATGATCAAAAGTCTAATGAGTTTATTAACCTTCAGTACACATAATTGGATGGTCACATGATTCGTGTCCTGCGCATTTCTTTAAAATACATAGGACTTGGCTAAATAATGGTCTTTAACCTTTTTTAATATATAATTTTATAAATACTTTTTAAATTATTAAAGGCAGGAGTGACGTTAAATGAGAAAACTTATTTTATTTATGGTAAATAAAATAAGTTTGTATATCTGTACTCTATCATATATCATCTTGCAGAAGAAATATTTTGTCATGAAACTTGTTCTGCGACTTATGTTTTACACGGAAAGAATGATTTTGCTGAAACATCTAAAAATTTATGTATAACGCAAGTTTGAATAGATATATATTCAAATATTTAATTGTTTGAAGACTTCGGATTAATAACTTCATCTTTCTACTCGCGTACTGCGAGACTTTTCTCTGTGTGGTACATGGAAACAGCGGGGGTTGGACGTAATTGAAGCTCCGTATTCGAGACACGAGAAGAGCCGCGCGATCGTGACTTGGTAACGCCCCGCCGCGAAATAAAGATGTCACGGGAACCGCAATAAAAGCGTCAACGAGCTCGTCGGCACATCTATCAATGTACGAGACGCGGGGCTGGGACAATGGCGAAATGGAACGACGTAGGGCGCGAATGTCGCGCTGTGTAAATATCTTAAATCTCGCCCGCGATTGCCGAAGCACGAAACGCGCTCTCCCGTCCGTCTCTCTCTCTCTCTCTCTCTCTCTCTCTCTCATTCCCTTTTCCCTTACACTCTCTCGTTTTCGTTGCGTATCGTGATCGCATAGCGTTTTACATCGTGCAATTTGACGCGCGAAGAATGTAATGACCTTAAACGTTAAGTTAACATACCGTACGCGAAATCGACGATGGCAATCTTGGATTACTCGCGAAGAGCGCGATTTACTCGCTGAAAGTTCAGAGGACCTTTCCGTCTGCCTCCATTATTATTTCTACATCGTTGACAACGATATTTTAGAAGCTATAAAATCTGCGAGCACGACGAGAGGGGAAAAAAGACGAAAAAAAATAATTACCTGGACTCGCGACTCTGGCAGGTTGATCTTGAGGGCAACCTCCTCTCGCATAAAGATGTCCGGATATCTCGTTTTCGAGAATAGCCCCTCCAGCACATCCAGCTGAGCTCTGGTGAAGGTCGTCCTCTCGCGACGTTGCTTGCGTTGATTCATTCCTGCAACATGAGGGTAGGAAGCGCTCGTTATTAATTATTACGTTCATAAATCTCAGCGAAAGATTTTGTTTTGATACGTACTGATACGCGCATTATTACGTTACGCTCTCAAAACTACTCTACGCGGCGTTAAAAAGGAGTAATTAAAAGTTTTATTGTTATAGCCAATTACCAAATCGATTTCAATCTATTAAAATTCAGAGCTGAGATTTAATTGCACATTTCGAGTGGATTGCGTTGTCAACGTTTACTGTCTTCCTCTTGCCGCTCGTATCTTAGCAACAAACTACCGGATGTTTATACATAAAATGCATGACTTCCATACGTGTCTAGAATATAAAACAATTTATTTCTATGGTTAATTCACGGTGGAATAATATGATAAAATTGTATTTCTCCTCAGCTACAAGTAGCGCTCTCTTTCTCTCTCGTTAGAACTTTTCTTTCTTTAATAATTTTAGATTAATAGTTGAAGATTTTTTTGTTATCAATAATGTCAGCAGATGATCAAAATTCTTAACCTAAAATTACTTAAAAAGGAAAAGTTTTAGCTACTTAAGACTCAAGAGGATTACAGTTCTTAGAAATTAAATTGAATTCTATCACCTAGCTATAGGGTTTATGAACATTTGCCGGCTCATTGCTGATTGTAGGATACGACCAGCAAGAGGAAGTATAGTATGTATTACATCGATACAACGAAATCGATTCAAATTGAATCAATCAATGATTTCGTAATGCAAACGGTTTTATACTTTTTCATAAAATATAATTGAAAAAGAAAGAAACGAAAGTTATAACCGCCAAACTATACCGTTATTGCAAAACAACATTTGATATCGAGACTTCAATACGTTCACATAGAAACGACCGATGCCGACGTCTTCAAATATGGAACGCTCGTGACATCGATGTCTTGCACGAAGACGGGGGTTGTTGCCGTGCCTGGTTGCCTCGCAGGATGGCAAAGGGGGTTTGACGCGGAGGGGCGTAAGCGTTGCGAGGTCGCGATAGCGTAATTTTGAACAGCTCCCCCCTTCGGCCCACCCCACGCTACCTTCCTCGTGCCATCGAGCCTCGCTTGGCTCGTTTCGGGACCCACGTAATCCGCTTATGAGGGGGTCACGGGGGTGCCGGTGAGGGGGACAAAGAGAGGGAGGGAATACACCCCGGAATACACGAGCATCCAGAGGACCAAAGTCGCGGTTCGCTCCCAGCTGCCGTTGGAAACGACGATGCTGGCTCTCGACAAGCATGCCGGCGAGTATATACAGTTCGTTCTCGTCGCGAACCAATAAAAAGGAGCGACTGGAAAACTGCGCCTCACTAGTGTCTCCGGGTTGGAAGCCGGATCGTAAAGTCGCAGGCGGAATGGTGGAATCCGGAGCCCGGGAGATTCGCCGGGCCGTCGGCTGCGAGGTATTTTTATGCGCCGAATTTTCGTGTTGCTGTTCTTCCGCGCAAAGAATTCGCGATGTTAATGAGAAAAAAAAAAACAAGAAGGGGCAAAGGGCAGAAGTAGTCGATCAAGTTGCGCTCTAATCTGCACGGGTCTCAAATCTGGGTGTTGTTTTTCAAAGCAAAAGTTTTATCCGATTTTACAGCCGCGAATGACCGACGGTCATACGAGTTGAATAATTGAGAGAATAGGGTCATTCATGAGAGACTGATGAAGCCCCGCCGCGTACAGTAGTGGTATATACGTCTATAATCGTCCTGTTAAGACTTGTGGAGACACGCGAGGCAGCTGTTTTTGAGACGATCGATGCTTTCTCTTTCTTCTTTTCCATTCCTCTTGTCCGCCATACTTGAAGGTCCTCCACTCACCGAATACAATAAAGAAAAAGAGTCACACCAGCGAGATGCAAAAAAGAGAAAGTTCGTGTCAGCAAGGAAAGATATGATGCAGAACAAAAAGCAGAATAGCGATTTAAAGACACGAAAAGTAGTATACCGAAAAAAAAAAAAAAAAAACAAGCTATCGAAGGAACCCTTAGAAATTACGTATAAATGTATGTGACAAACACAAAGAATAATCGTGATAAGTACAAAGAATAATATTACAACAAAAATAAAACCGATTATGAAAGCACGTAGTTCAGTTATACAACTATATGTAGTAATTAGAGAGAAATTAAATTAACTTTATAATCTGTAACTCCATAGCACATATCAAGTAAAGTTTTCTATTACATGTTGTAACTGTTGTCTATTTATACGATTTAGTATAACAGATTTATACGTACACGCTGTTAAATATCAAAGAAGCAATGTAACCCAATTCCTTGAATTAAACAACATTTTGTTACTATTAATTTTCACACTGTATGTGTCAAAATATAAATCAATCAATTTCTGTGGTTAAAGTAAACAACGTGCATATTAACGTATGCACTTGGCAAATAATCGATTAAATTTGAGTCAAATTTAATACATTTTCTTGAACCAAATTGTTTTACAATTGAACTGAATAAGGCTTAACAGAATAAATCAATTAATATTATAATGCCAATAAAAGCCGACAGTCCGATATCCGTGCATAATATCATTCTATCATGAATAATATAACATGATATGAATCGAAAATACATAACATTTCTATGCAATTTTGGATCCTCCTCAGTAAATATATGAAGTTAGACCTACAGAACTGATTAAAAGTAACTTAAATTGAACATAATTTAATTTTATGAATTTAATTACTATGTACAAAAAATTATTTTACGAGAGGAACGAATCAGCGAATAATTCATGGTATAATTCATACAGCTTAAGGCTCGACTGAAAGTTTTCGACACGAGACGATAGTTTACCGACGAGAGCAACGACAAAAGCGAAGTAACTGTAGTTCTAAAATGGAAGGAGCGGTCCAGAAGAAGGAAACAACGTCATATCAATCGCATCTCTCGTGGGTGCTCCTCTCGGGTTCGAAGAGAACCCGGGATGAAGAGGATGACGACGAACGACGATGACGACGACGACGACGACGACGGTACCTGCGTGATTGGCTAACGAACTGGTCGAGTGGGCTACCAGTATGGCACCGGAGTAGATCCACGGAACAGATTGCGTCGGGCTCACAATGTACAAACTCCACGGTGGTCGGTATTACCGCCATCGCTCCGTGTGACGGACGCGACACACCCGCGATCGTTTGATCTATGATACGTATCTCGCCGCCTCCGACACGGAACTGCTACTGATTATGGACACATGGAAATTCTGGAATAAAACAATCTCATCGTCGCTCTTGAGATAACGCGTATAGATAAAAAAAAAAAGTATCCGTACATTTTTTATTAAAATATCATCAGCATCAAAGCGCCACGAGATGTGAAAATTAAGCAGTGTGATTAAAAGTTTTTTTGAATACTGAGATTTTTACTATCTAATATCAATTTATAATTTATGTATATTTCGACGCTGAAAATGAGCTTCTAATATGAAAATGCACTTTTAATGCGATCATTATATAAAAGTCAGTAAATAAACTGTCATTTTGTGCAGTAACTTGTACTTAATTCTGCGATTAAATTATTTATTATTTGTATTTTCGTCTATATTCAAGAATTTCCTGTGTGTAGTAATTTTTATGCACACTGAATTATTCGTTGAACCAACAAATCTCATTTGATTGGGAATCTTTTTGTGTCCATAATAGTCGCTATATTCCCCGCCGTAGCATTGCGTGGAGAATAGCTCTGAGAGGACGCTCTGATTGTCGAGTGGGCGTATAGGTGCTACTGTTAACGACGGCCTTTGCCATCGGCCCAGTAAGAGCCAGGCACTTCTACAACCAAGACAATGGCTTGTCCGATTATGCTCTCTCTCTCTCTGCTCGTTTCCTCGACACGCAAGGCGCCGCCGAATAAGTTTTTCAAAGCCACTTAATTTAACGCCTGAATATTCCAAGCATGACATTGTAAATCGAAATTGTGATTAAAAACTGAACCTAGGATTTCCGGGAAGAAACGTTTTCTATCACTCGCTATGTTTAAAACGATAACATGAAATATTTATTTTCAATGAAGATGCCAACTACAGTACTGTTTCTTTTTAAAGCAAATATAATTTTAAAAAATTGTTAAAATACATTATTGAATGACAAGCGAGAGCATTTTAGGATTCATTTCGATTGATTTAAATGTGTGAAGAAAAAATCTTGACAACCGTATCGTGCTTTAAGCAGAGACAGTCAGCTAAGCGACCCTAATGGATCGGCAAACACCCGCTGACTCTCGGAGTATGATTCGATTTATTATCGTCAGTGAGACGCGATACCGGGAGGGTTGATATAAGGGTTGCTCCGCCTCATTGGCCTGCAACGAGATCAGACGCGACCCTAATAGTAAATTCGTTTTGCGTTTATTGGATTCTTCCGCGCCCGCCACGTTTCGCCGTTTCGTCGAGATCTGCGTAAGTCAATGGACCACTAACAAAATTTTACGGTGATCTCTCTTTCACTCACATAATCGAATGGTACAATCCACCAATACATCTGCATATGCCCGAAATTCGAATCGCGTTGAATAAATTTTTCACATTTTAATCGAAAACGAAGATATTTATTATCTTCACATTATTAGATATCAAAGAGACAATGATTCCCTTCAGTTAAATAACATATTTTGTTATTTTTTATTACCATATATGTCGAAACGTAAATCAATCCATTTATGTGATTAAATTATTTAGTTTTACAGTAAACAACACTCATATTAATAACGTATGCGTTTATTAAATAATAAACTACAGTTAAATTTACTACACTTTTTTGTGTTAAATTATTTAACTCCATTGTTTTAAATTAATGATATATTGAGTAGTGACACCTATATAAATGCGATTAAATTAAATTGAATTTAACAAAGTATGGTGTAATCTTTTTTTAACGTCCATAGTTTAATTATGTATTTTGTAACTTAAATATTAAAGGAAAGTGTATTAAAAAAAATAGTTTTATAAAAAGACAATCTCATACAACTGATTTCGCTAATGTC